ATATAAATTCGTTGTAGAAGTTGCAAATAAAGGCACGATTTTATCTAATACCTAATGAATTAAAATATGTTTTTGCAATTAATTAAAACCATTCTAGTGGAAAAACTTGAGATGATATTTGGCTTGTATTTAATAATAAATTAATTAAAATATGCCGCCCCTGGTACATTACAATAATAAATTAATTAAATTTTCTGTTTACAATAAAAACTCGATCCTTTTTCTAAAATTTAATTTACAGAAGTTGTCATAATCAATAACACTGATGATTGAAACCCAAATAGACAAATATTGACGATTGAAATGCAACAATTGTTAAAAAAATATTTGAAGTAGGTTTTTTTGTTATGCCGGCCTAACCTTAGACCGACGTGCTTGTTTACAAACTTGCGTATTGTCACATTTTAAAAAATAATATAAACAGAAGTATGATATTTGACAATATAAAAGTACATTTATGACAGGTCGATCCACCGAGCACTTCGCTCAATAAATTGTGAGACATATTTATATCCAATGCCCCCACCAAACCTAGTTTTAACATAATTTCTCAAGATTCTCAAATAATGTATATAATAAATAAATTTATTATTCGATTCATGTCAAGATAGTACATGAAAAAAAATGAGAAAATTGGAATTTTGTGCAGTACAATCAGCTGCTAATAGTTATTGTTGTTATGTAATAAGGAAAAGCCAAATTGGGTAACAATGTACCATATACAAAGGTGGGCATCCCCATCATTATTATAAATTATGGGCTTTAAGCCCAAAAAAAATAAAAAAGCGACTTAAACAGTATTTCATTATTAAATCGTGGACCATAACACACATGCGACTTTTTTATTTTTATTTTCCTTAATGGGCCCCCACTAGAATAAAAAAGGACCGATCCATTTTGTTTTTTTAATTTGACAGACAGGGACATGTAACTACCCTTTCTAAATTATGAGATTCTTCCATTTTATATTATGCTTCTAATAAATCATTACCTCCCATACATTTGTAATTTATCAATTGATTTATATTTATATTTTCTATTTTTATCTTGTTGAGAACTTTTGTTATTGGATCTATAATTGGATATATTTCATTTCACAATGCCACTATTCATCTATATATTATATTCTAACACGCCCTTCATTTGTGAAGTCCTTCATACGAGGCCTAAGCTCAATTGGACTGGGTGACGGATACGTGATCGCACAATCTCACGTAAAATTGACTTTGATACCATGTAAAAGACGAGAGAAAAACGAGTACAGTCTCACGCACATGAAGCACACCATAACAGGGTGAGCTTTGATGTACCGTAGTGAAGTCTCATCCTAAAACCAATTGGTTGTAGAAGGAAAGACCGACGAGGCTTATAAGTTATGCCTATGCGGCTCCACGTACGTGAAACGCACTATAACAAGGTGAGCCCAGATGAAACCTATATAGTGAGGTTCTATCCCAAAACTAATTGGTCGTTGGGAGGAATAACTCACTAGACTTATAAGTTAGGTCTATTTTTCTGTATAAACGATGTAGGACAACTGAGAAATGATATTCTAATAAGCCCCCTTATTTGTGAGTCCTTCATACGAGGCCCAAGCCCAACCGCCGGTAAGGTAAAGCGGTGTCAGCGGACAGGGCTGGGTGACAGGTACGTCATCGCACGGTCCCACGTAGAACCGGTTCTGATACTATGTAAGAAACGTGTGCAGTCCCAAGCACGTGAAGCGCACCATAACATAGTGAGCCCAAATGAAACCAAACTGATATTCTATCACAAAAGTTATGTTGAATGAAGGGTTCTCCCTTTTTCGAATGTACCCTGATATACAAATTATTTACAAAATAATTGTTTTTAAATAACTCACAATTTGTTATGGACATATATTCCGCATTGACCTTAAGCGAGATGTTCATACACAATTCTGCTTTAATTCCTCTGATCTTTCATTCAATTAACTGAGCTGTTATTTCATTTGTACTCTAGTGAGCTCTAGCTATAAATTGATTTTAGGATGAAACTTTTACTTTGCTTCATCTGGGCTTACCTTATTATGGTGCGCTTCACGTGCATAGGACTGCACCCGTTTGCTCCCGTTTCTTTCATGGTGTCAAAGACAGTTCTACGTGGAACTGTGCGATGACTTATGAAGGACTCATAAGTGAAGTTCCATTCCAAATAGGTTTCAGGGCTCACAATATTATTGTGCGCTTCACGTGTGTGGGACCGCACCCCTTTGCTCCCGTTTCTTTCAATCTACTTTCCTTTTTTCTTTTCCAACTTTTTATCAAAATAATTAAATGATAAATTTGTTCTTAACTATACATTTTTTACTAAATGATATAGTATTCATTTGTTCACATATTTCTAACTAAAGAAATATTTTTTTTTCGTTAAGTATTTTTATATTTTTCTATTAGACAACTTTAGTCATTAGGTTTTATCTATGTTCCATTTTTTAAAAAAGTCTAGTATCTAATTCACTTTTTCACTTAAACAACCTTTTTATAAAATAACCCTTATATTTGTTGAAAAAAATACACCATTTACCTTCATTTCTCATTTTATTTTTGTGTTTTATGAAATTTTTATTTTAATTACAAATACATTACAAGTACACTAGCTTTTATAGATTATGTATGATTGATTTTTAGTTTATTTTTTTCGTTCTTTTTTAAATTGAATTATTACTTGTTTATTTATGTAAAGTTTTAAATAGTTTATGTATGATTTTACTTGGGCTGTCTTAATTTTGTAAAAAAAATAAAAAAAATTATAATAAACATGTTATGTGTAAATATGTGTGTTTTAGGCTCTTGTTCGGTTGTTGTTCTTAATATGGACTTGCTTTAACTATTCAAGAAAATGTCGTGTTTCTGTTCCTGGGGCTGATATTGTTTGATTAATTTGCAGTGATAAAAAATGCAAACTTTTAGGAAAGCCATTTTGAGCCACATTAGGATTGGAGTCCCAGTGAAAGGGCATTTGCGTAAATTTGGCGCAACCGCCGGTATCCACCAGGAACGAGTGATGAGTCGAGTCATTGAGTTGGTGAAGAAATTTGACAAGATTGATGCTGCTAAGGTTGCATTCTGCTGCCGTATTTTTTACTGTTTTTTGTTTCGATTTTGTTGAGCGATGATTTATTCGTTAATTTCATATCTTGTTATGCTTGTCTTGTAAGGTTGGTGGTGATTTGGCATATTTATCATTTCAAAGTCTGTATGGATTTCCAGTTGTGTGATTGAATTAAATGAAAATGTTAAACAATTTAAAGACTGCACTTGAATTCGACTAGGAGTAGTTAAAGAATGTGCGAGTGGCTAAGCTAAACAATAAGGTTTAAGATAAATGTGTAGATTTGTGAACTTGAAAATTGCTGGACTAGTAAACTTTCAAAGGCTATCACGAGTTTCTGTTGAGATTTTCTTCTTTGGAAAGAAAATGGAATTTTGTTTTTTTTTTTTCATTAGCCGGCCATGAGTCCCCTTACGAACCAAAATATATGCGACGGGTTACAGAAAGAGCTGATTTTCAGAAGGACTTGAACCTCGACAGCCTGGATAGAGTGGAACTGATGATGGCTTTCGAGGAAGAATTTTCTGTCGAGATACCTGATGCCGAAGCAGATAAGCTCAAATGTTGTGCTGATGTTGCTAAATATGTTATTTCGAGTTCGACTGGTGGAGTTTCTGAATCTTCTTCTTGATTTCTGATTGTTTCACGTTTTGCCAGTTTTATTAATTAGTCCATTTTCTTGCCACTATAACTGAGATAAATGTTCATGGTGTACTTCTTGGCTAGTATGAAATGGATTCTTTTACGACGAAAGTGCTTTTCTGGACATGATTGATCTGCATTTCATAGATTTTGGTTTACCTTCAAATCATAGTTGGCTGGGTTTATGCATGGCTGTATAAATAAACCCCTTGGTCTATTTTAAGGGCTGGTTTGAAAAATGGCCATGCTGTGAGGATTAGCCTAATTGCACAATTGCACATGTCAAACATGTGATACTGAATTAATAAACACGAGAAATTCGTAGAAATTGATTTCAACGGATCAAATAAATATAGTGGATTCCAAATCTCTATTATTCCTTTGATTAATTTTTTCAATAACAATCTCGATTCAAACGTCTTGATTTCCCAAGAACGAACACGAGTCATTGGTCTTCGCCGCAAAATTGATTTTGACATTCTCTAAGTCGATCTTGAATTTAATAACGTAATTCGGAGGTTTGACAACTTGTTTCTGGAATAAACGTTGATCTTAAGATTGAACGCGCTTGAATCTTTCTTCGACTCTTCAATGAGACATTTTGGATCATCAAGAACACTTGAATCTCGTCGAGAGAATTTTCTAGAGCTATTGAACTTTAATATGACTTGTGATCTTGAATATGAATTGTGATTTGACCTTAGGGAGAACCCTATTATAGGTGATAGGAGAGAGGGTCTTGAAAAAGAAGATTTCAATTTGATTTGTCCATATTTTTCAATATTTATTTCCTTCAAATCTGTACTTATATAAAAGTCATCTTATTTACTAGAATTAGTAGGAAGAAAAGTCAACTCATAATTAATTGCATATTATATTTAGAAAGTTTTTAAATTTTTTAAATCATAAAATTGAGTAGCATAATGCCCCTAAAATTATGGGTTTTGTTTAATTCATTTTTAATAAAATCTGCATCCAAATTTACGTGTGGTTTTAAAGTGAAAATTTGAAATTCAAAAACTCTTCTCATTTTAGTTACAAGAAAATCGGGTTGCATTCAACACTTGGACCAATTTAAAAATTATGCCTTAAAAATGAAGGAATTTATAGATAATTGTTATCTCTACTCAATCACATGATTATTTACAATATAAAAAGAGACAGATTACAAATTAGTGAATCATATATTACCTAATTCAATATCTTAACATTAAGGAATAAATCCATAGTATTATGTAAGTGTTTGTAGTATTTTTGGGCATGTGGTAACCGAGCTACCCGACTCGGGTCGTTCTCAAAGGAAGGCTCTTCGGAGCTTCGTTCACTACCTAGTCGTCAAAGTTACACAACCAAAAAGATCCTAAACATGCTAATCACTTGGTTTGGGTTGAATTTAAACTAAACTAAACTACTAGTTGAAAGCATGAGAAAGCAAGTAAAGCATTAGCGCATGAGGGAGAAAAGGAGAGAGGGAGAGAGAGAGAGAGAGAGAGAGCAAGCAAGAGAAATCAAGAGGGAAAGAGAGAGATTGGTTCATCGGAGTCATCATGATCAAAAGTACGCAAAAATCCAACCATTGCCATGTTCGCTAAAAACCCTAGAAAGTCAAATCAAACTCTAGCATGAATCGAGCAAGAATTCAACTCCTATCACACTTAGTCAAACATTCATGATCCAAAACAACAATATTTTCTTCCAAAATCTCAAGCACAACAATTATTTTACCAAAGCAAGAAAGATATACTAGGTAATGGGGCTTAAAACTAAGTTACCCACTCCAACATGCACTCGAGAGAATAAACGGAATCAAAAGCTTGAAACTTTGCTCAAAACAATGTCGCCGGAAGTTCGCCGGAAAACTTGATTCATAAAGCTCCAAACTAAAATAAAAATAAAAAGAAAAAGGAAATAGAGAGGATTTTCCCAACTTAAAGTTGGGAAATGAGAGTTGTGTTAAAAAAATATAAAGCAAGATGTCTATATATAGCTACACCACAAACACACACTAAAAACACACACATTTACTAAGGTACTCACGAGCTAGCCATGAAATCCGCGAGCTCGAGAGTGTGGTTTGGGCATTGGCAGCACGGGGCGCGCGGGCGTGCGAGCGTGCGGGCGTGCATGGGCGCGGGCTAAGGCAAGTGACACTCTCGACCTCGCGGAAGTTGCGGCGAGCTTGCGGGCTAGGCGCCATTGCTTGTGTTGGGGCGCGCGGGCGTGCTGCGCTCGGGAAAGGGCTCGGTCAAGACCCGTTGATGCTCGATTCGCCCTAACTTCTCGCACACATATCCGATTGACTTGAAACTTTGACCCACGCTTCCCAAATCTCTTTCTCCTCATATTCGAGTGCTCAAATTTATATTGCCGCGCAATTAATATATATGCTCGGAATGACTCAGAAATTGCTTGCGTGGCTCGAACATGGTTCGGACGACTCGAAAATGTCTCGGAAATGGCTCGTCCTCCCAAGATCGAATAATGTGGTCCTAAACAACATCAAAAAGACAAGAAAAGTACGCCGAACCACAAAAATACAATACGAGAATAAAAATGCACGAAACACGATAAAATGGACCGGTTGACACTAAAACGAACCTAAAAACACTAAACTCAAGCACATAAAATACACGAAAATAAGCACAAAAACACAATAAACAGTAAGTACGTATCTTATATTATTATATCATTAAGAATTTATTATAGTTATATTATCAAATCATAAAAAGATATTATATCCATATTGTAATAAAAAAAAATTTCATATAATGTTATGACAATTCTACTACATTATTTAACAATATTTCTTCTTATTATATAATAAAATAATAATTAAATATTATATGGTAAACAAGAACAATTAAAATTGTTACTTTCTCTTATATCAAGGGATAAATTTATATGCTAAAATTAAATTTTGATTAGTATAAATGGTTTAATTAGATAATATATTAATTATTTTACAAGCTAGCCTAACATACTCATATTTAATTTTTTGGCTAAAAAAACAACGCTGATTAAAAGATGTGAAAAGAAGTTATAACCCTATTATTTTTTAGGCTTAAACATTGATTAAAAGGGGCAAAATAGATAATAACTCTATTACTTTTTAGCAAGGAAATAAATAGCTCGCTAAAGTTGCCGCTATTTGAGAAATAGCTTTTTTTGGCAACGTGTCGCTATTTGTATTCATGTGCAATTTAGCCGCTAAATCCCGCTAAATCTCCGCTATAGCTACAGTGCCATAAACGTTTTAGCCCGCTATTTAAAACCTTGCTTTTTAGACTTAAACAAACAAAGCTGTGAAAATAACTTATTTAATATCTCTTCGTGCATCGCACGGGGTAGGTACTAGTTTATTCAAAGAGATAATTATGAGAGAAAAGCTTGAAATTAGCTCGAGTGTGAACTTATTATTCTTTTGGGACCACACACTCGAGCATTACCCTGTTGGGGCCGTTTTAGTGTTGTGTTTTTGTGTTGGGGTCGTTTTTGTGTTGAGTGCTTATTACCCTGTTAGGGTCGTCTTTAGGCGGGCGTAGTCCCGTCCTCTCAGTTTCTTCAGCTGGTGGTTGTGCGTTGTCAGTTGATGTTTGTATTAGCACTTTCGTCCCCATT